ATGATACATACCTACCTTACTTGAAAGTAGTTCACTGTTCAAGGAGGTGGAGTGTAACACCCCCACACACTCCTTAAGTACAAGCTGCATATAGTGACTCCTTCAAAAGAGTATAGTATGAAAACAAGGGGGAAAAAAGTTAACTTTACAGTAGAGAAAGCTGGCAAGTGTTATCTCAGCCAAGTGAGCAGGGTCTAATATCAACATTCAACAATCAAGTTGATAGTGTGTACCCTTGATAAAATGTGATGAAAATGGCAGGAGAAAAACATCAGACAAATTTACAACTGAGGGACATTCCACAAAATACCTGACCAGTACTGCTCAAAACTATCAAGGTCGTCAAAGACAAGGAAAGGCTGAGAAACTGTCATAGCCAAGAGGAGCTTAAGGGGGCACAACAACTAAATGTCATGTAGAATCTTGGGACAGGATCCTAGAACAGAAAAAGGGTGATGGTAAACACTAAGGCAAACTGAATAAAGGACAGACTTTAGCTAATAAAATATATTAATACTGATTCATTAATTCTCGGAAGGAAGATGGGGCAATCTACTTCCACAGTGATACTGCCTCAGAAACCCAAGGAGGTTGCTATGAGTTGAAATTGACTCGATGGCAGTGAGTTTGGTTTGGTTTTTTTGGTTCATTAATTATAACAGATGTACCATACGAATTAAAGATACTAACAAAAGGGAAACTGTGGGGTACCTGGGAACTCTCTATATAATGTTCACAATTTTTCCATAAAACTAAAAAGGATCTAAAGTTAAAAGTTTATTTTTTAAAAAAGTAATACATTGACGAAATAAAGATAGAATAACATACCAAAACTTATGGAACTTAGCCCCTCACTGCCTCTTCAGAAACTGAACTAAAAGCAGAGACTGAGTCAGCCAGTGTTGGGCCCTAAATGGAAATGCCATGTAGAGTTAAGGCTGGGACAGTTACCTCCCAGCCACGTCCAATCTAAAGCAGCGAAAAAAAGCCAGTCTGCAAATTAATGACGCAAACCCACAGGAAGAAACAGGGGTGAGATGAGGTGGCCCAAGGGAGACAGAGACCTGCTATTGATTTCATTGTAAGGCCTGACTGTGCCGGCAGTCCTAGAAGACAAGGGAAATATGAGACACCCCTGAACGCTGTCAACAAATCTCCCCTCTGCCTCGGCCTCTTTGTGTGTCTGATCCTTACAAGCAAAGATCCCTGATTAAGACAGGAGGTGAGCTTTCTTTCTGTCATTCAAGTATCACATGGGACACTAAAATGGGTCTCAGTGCATGGTTCTGAGTATAACAAGCTCAGGTAACCCCCAAGAGAAAAGATGGGCCACATAAAGGGGGCAGCTGAACAGTCTGGCACTCTGCCCACCTGACCACAGTGGTGTTTGGCTTCTCCACAGCTGTTGCCAGGAATATTACAAAGTGCCCTTATGTGAAAGCTTAACATAATTCAGAAAGGTGCAAATCAGTTACCTCACCCTCTGCTTTAATTTCCTTACATGTATCAATAGGTGGGCTCTTAGCATATACTACAAAGCTAAAAAAATAAATTTAGTGGTCCTAAGTCATTGTTAGGAGCTCTAGTGGCATAGTACCTAAGTCATCTGACTGCTAACGAGAAGGCTGGTGGTTCAAACCCACCAGCCACTCCTCGGAACGAAGACTGGACAATCTACTTCTGTAGAGACACCACCTCGGAAACCCAAGGAGGGGTTGCCGAGTTGGATCCAACTCGATGGTAGTGAGTTTGGTTTGGTTTTGGTGAAGTTATTGTTACTCTCTTAAAAATAATTAATTTAGCTGTGAAATATTTGCTGTGGGCTAACTGGGTCTCTGGGTATTTGGTGAGACTGTACAGCCTCTAACTACATGTAAGCTGCAGTCTCTTTATGAGCAAAAGGGCCACAGCTAACTGGCCACCCTCCTCCCCTGTCTCCTACTGGCCAGCATGCCGAGGGGTAAGTGTATGCCCAGAAGAAAAGCCAAGATGAATGCACCTCTGTCAGCTCTAGACCTGACACACACTGATGGCTCCTTGTAACTCTAGGGGACATTAGAGAAGGGAAGAAGAAGCCTACAAGGATGTTGCTTAAAGCAGACATCTGTCTGTCTTCTCCCCACAGACATATAGGCTGACTCTCGGCCAAGGCAAGCAGCAGTTGCCAGAGAATGGGTCTGCAAGGCCAGAACCCAGTGCATGGGACCCAAAGCTGCTCCTCTCCAGGCCAAAACATACAGGGGCCAATACACATAAAACAAGCAAGTACAAACAGTCTGCTAAACTATCAGCTTACACTGTGGGGCAATTGAACATTTTGGACCTTATAACTGTTCACAAATAAAAGTCAATCGTACAGTACTGGACTTGAACTAATAAGGTCCCTTCCCCTGCTAACCTTGGTGACAGCAGAAGCAAACAGAGAAATAGGTAGAAAGGTTAAGCACTTTAGATGCTCTCTCAAAGCCTCTGAGGAAAGTGGAAGAACTGCTGGAATTTAAGTGTTAGCCTCTGTTCTCCACATGACACTAACCTTCTTCATTCTAAATAAAACAGTGAATCACTATTAGGCTAGTATTTTCTTAGAAGCTAAAGTGTTTTGTTTTCTGTTTTTTTTTTTTTTTAATGAGAAAAAGAAACCATCTATGACAAAATAAACTTTTCTTCATGGTATGAAGTTTAGTATTATTTAATATTAATCTCATCTATGTTTTCATCTAATTTTCTTACCCTTCAATTTCCCCAGGTTAAAAAGGTTTTTAACCCTTGTTGCCTGTTGTTTGTTGTTGTAAGAGCTTGAAATCCTGTTGGCGAACAAAGCTGGGCTGTAAATATACCTCTCCATTGTGACATAAGAACCTACAAGCATTGCAAATCTGCAAATCGCTTATTACCTATTGAATGCCTGTTTTACTCACTGAGCGGCAAGCTCAATGAGAAAAAGAATGGTTGAGCAAATGGGTGAACAGAAGAAAGAATAAACAGGCAAACAGTCTTGCTGCTGAAATCCACCTAAAAGCACAAAGCTCTCAGTGTGGCAGAAACACAAACAGTCCTCCAGGTGCCCATGAACTTTCTACTAGACCACACTCTTCTCAGGTACTAAAGGGAATGGCATTCAGACCTCCAGGTCAGACCATTCACAGTCAGAGTAACTTACCTGAGTTACACACAAAGTAAAAGGTCAGTGACAATGGGTTCCATTGTTAAATCTATTTCTTAAATGAGATTTGACCTAAATAGTCCAAAAAGCCTTGTCGTTGTTAGGTGTCGTCAAGCTGGCTCCGACTCATAGTGAACCTTTGTACAACAGAACGAAACACTGCCCTGTCCTGTGCCAGCCTCACAATCCTTGCTATACCTGAGCCCATCACTGCAGTCACTGTGTCAATTCGTCTCGTTGAGGGCCTTTCCCTTTTTCGTTGGCCCTCCACTTTAGCAAGCATTATACCCTTCTCCAGGGAATGATCCCTTCTGACATGATCAAAGTAGGTAAGATGAAGTCTGGCCATTCTTGCCTCAAAGAATCATTCTGACTGCACTTCGTCCAGGGAATATTTGTACCTTCTTCTCATAGTCCATGGTACTTTTGGTATTCTTCATCAACACCACTATGTAAAAGCATTAACTCTTCTTCGGTCTTCCTTATTCATTGCCCAGACTTCCCATCCATATGAGGTGACTGAAAATACCATGGCTTGGGTTAAGGCACACCCTAGTATTCAAAGAGACATCTTTGCTCTTCAACACTTGAAAGAGGTGATTTGCAATAGATTTGCCCAGTGCAATACACTGTCTGATTTCCTGACTGCTACTTCCATTGGTGCTGACTGTGGAACCACGTAACATGAAACCTCTGACAACTTCAATCTTTTCTCCATTTATCGTGATGCTGCTTATTGGTTGAGTTGTGAGGATTTTCATATTATTATGTTCAGGTGTAATGCAAACTGCAGACTGTAGTCTTTAATCTTCATCAGTAAGTGCTTCAAGTTGTGTTCGCTTTCAGCAAGCAAAGTTGTCTCGTCTGCATACGCAGGATGTTATGGAGACTTCCTCCAATGCTGATGCCACGCTCTTCTTTATTAAGAATTACAGACTTTGATTGTTCTCTCAAGTGTTAAAGCATAACACTTTAAGATAAATTATGTTGCCTCTAAATATATTAAACAAATAAAAAAAACCAAACTCACTGTCATCAAGTCAATTCTGACTCACAGCAACTGCCACTGAATTTCCAAGGCTGTAAATCTTTACAGAAGCAGACTGTCTCATCTTTCTTCTGTGGAGTGGCTGGGGGTTCGAAGCACTATCTTTTTGGTTAGCAGCCAAATGCCTTAATCACTACACCACAAGAGCTAAATATATTAGACATATTATTTCCACAAAGATCAGAAAACAGAAGCTAGTAATATACTCTCTCCTTCACATTAGCAGCTCTAAGTATCATAACTCGTTCATTAACTAAAACCTTTGTAGAAAATCAACAATAGGAATCCTGGATGTTATGAGGGGTGGCCTGAGTCCTTCTAATTTCCCCTTAGCCCAAGTGTTTTTACTTACCTGTCTTTAAAGTTTCAGGATTTATTGGTTTTGAATGTGACTTTAAATGGGGACTGTAGAAAAGATGTCACATCCTCTTTACCAAAACCAAACTCATTGCCATCAAGTTGATTCTGACTCACAGTGAAACCACTTGGGTTTCCAAGGCAGTAAATCTTTACAGAAGTAGATTGCCCAGTCTTCCTTCTGACTAGTGGCTGGTGGGTTTGAACTGCCAACCTTCTGGTTAGCAGTCAAATGCTTTAGGCACTATGCCACCAGAGCTCCTTACATCCTCTTTGGGATATTCATAATTTCTTCTGCCAGGAAAAAAGACAAATAAGCAAAATCCGTAGCTTCCCTAGGGACACATGGTGGCGATTCCCTGCTGGCATCTGCTCTGGTGAGCAGCCAGAGCTGCCAGCATGGGGTAGCTGCAGGTGTCCTGAGGCACTCACCAGGGTGACAATGGCGCATTCAGCTGTCAACTGGGCAGCACTGAACAGCGTCCGAACAAACCGGTAAATCTGTTTCTGCTCTGGGTTATGTTTGTCATAATCTGGTGGCACTTCGGATTTCTGGGGAAGGAAACATTTTTAGATAGATAACTGGTCACCCAATAAGAGCAAAAAGAGAAATAATTAAACAATCTCAAGAAATACAAGGATGAGGATATTACCGAAAGAGGGTGAAGGTTTTCATCAAAAATATCTAAAAGCATCCTTCCATCTGGGTCCCTGGTGGGGAAAATAACAGAAAATGGAGTTTATTATCTGCAAGAATGAGTGCCAGTCAAATGAGAACAAAAATATATTTTGATTCAAATGCATTTCAAGAAACAGAAAGCAGTGCTAAATATAAGCAATGCTGTCAGTTACTCATGAATAATAATCCTTTTCCTTGGATATAACATTTAAATCATATTTATTTTGATAGTCCATGGAAATGAACCACACTTACTTGAATTAACTAGGTAAAAAATCTAGATCTTTCATTTTCTGACTTTTCAAATAAGCCAAATCTAACCAAGTGACTTAATTTTCTTTAACATCTTGTTTCCGAGCAAAGGCTAACTGATCTGCTTAAAACCATCACTACCCGGTTTTGGTAGGAAAAACGTCCAAAGGTATGAACACTCAATGCATCCTAGAGATTAGTTTGGAATTTCCACAGCATGCAACTTGACTAATTCATTAATTAGGAGTTTCACAATTTTATATTGAACATTAAGAGGTGACTCAAAGAAAAGCTTAACTCTATAACCTATAAAGGAGGGGCAGGCTGCTTCCACTCTATCAAGAGTAGAGAACCCTTTAAAGTATTGATTTTTCCTGTCATCACAGAGCCTTGGGCTACAGGGCTTTTGTGGATCACCCTCACCTCACTGACGGCAGCTCGACTTTCATCTATTTTATGTAAATAGAATTCTATCTAAACATTTTTCTTTAAAAACAAAATTGGAAAACACTGCTTTGTTCATATCATACAATTTCTGTAGCCTGTGTCTCCCACGTCAATGATGCTTAAGGACATCAGAAAGCTATAGACCTGTCTCTAACATATACCATCAGGGCAAACACTGTAATTTGTGCTCTACAAATTTACTGTCTGCATAAAAATAAAAAAGAAGGAAAGAACTTAGCTGAACAGCTCAGTTTTCATTAATGTATTTGAAAAACAGGAATTTTTTTCTTAAAGCTCTGGGCCTTCACACCTGTGCTCACTTGTGTTTGCCTACATGAACAAAGTTGGCCAAAACTTAGATAAACCCGAGTTAAAGACATATTCCAACTAGGCAGGACCTGATAGCCGGGTCAGGAAGCGTAGAGGCCATGCCTTTTGGGAGCATTTGTGGTTACACTCACTTTTATAATGACCATGGCTATGAGAAATCAGCTGGTCCCTAACCTCACTCACACCCTCTGCAAGCTATCCAAGGGGCTGTGTGACATGGCCCTGCTCAATTTTCCTGATGAATTGAGATCCTCTGAAAAACCCTGCCACTGCTCTAGAGAAACATTGACCAGAAATCATTCTGAAGATGAGAAGCATGCAGGTTCAGAAATATAAATAAGGATTAAGAACTTGAGCTAAAATGACTTTGGAAACAAAACTGCATCCTCTGAGAAGTGGTCCGTTTCCTCTCACTCCCATCACAAGATATATACCAGCTGAACAGCATCATCTCTGTCAAGCCAATGGATCTGTCATCATCTCTGAGACTTTGGCCAGGATAACTTATGAAAGAGAAAGTCAGCAGGCGGCCAATGCCACCTCATCCCCAAGTCAGGCTACAATCCATAGATCCATCATGCTTGTTTACAATATTCACTTTTGTGGTTGGGCTTTCTCCACTCACTCATTTTTGGTGGAATTTATCATCATTAGCCTAACACAGCACAAGAAGAAAAGTTTGGGTGGCAGACTGTATGGGTTCAAATCTCAATTCCCTAATTTACTAGTTGTGTCATATTTGACAAATTATTTTTTTCCCCTGTGCCTCAGTTACTATATCTGTAAAATGGAGATAATATTAGTATTCCCTGGAGTTGTTATAAGAATTTCATGAGATAATGCATATAAAGAGCTGACCAAAGTGGCCATGAACCAAAATCCAAACCCACTGCCAGTGAGACAATTCCAACTCACAGCAACTCCCATTGGGTTTCCCAGGTGGTAAATCTTTACGGAAGTAGAATGCTCTGTCTTCCTTCCATGGAGTGGCTGGTGGGCTTGAACTTCCAACCTCCTGGTTAACAGTCAAAAGCCTTAGGCACTGTACCACCAGAGCTCCTTAGAGTGACCATAACAACTGCTTACTAGCCACCTAGCTTTTATTATCAGCTAGCCACTCCTCGGAAGGAAGGTTGGGCATTCCTACTTCCGTAGTGATACTGCCTTGGAAACCCAAGGAGGGGTCGCTATGAGTCGGGGCCGACTCGATGGCAAATAACAACAACAACAACAACAACAACATGGTTACATTAACTTTGGGATCTATGGTAATGGCAGGTATTCTATTGTTACTTAAAGTTTAAGTGTTTTAAAAGTCTGAACTAGTATCATAGAAACAAGCATCACTTTCACTGATGTCATTCTGTTTCAAGGTTCAGAGTTACAACATTCTACATTTTATAAGTTCTTAAATCCAAAATTCTCAAGCAACATCTAGTAACAATATAAAAAACACCTTTCTAGGCAGTTGTTTCCAGATATTTGTTTTTTTCCATAACAATGTTATGATTAGAACCTCTATCATCTGACCTCTGTTCAATTGACTTGTCACAACTCTCCCACTCCTCTGTAAAACAGACCTGTGGTGGTGGGTGGCTGCCCCTATCCTACCGTCAGGGCTGGCTGGTATGCTCTTGTAAGCTCAGGCAGTCTCCTCCCACCCAAAGAGATAAAGGTTTACTGAGGGGCAGCTCTGCTTGCTCCCAAACTAAGTTCATACCTGTTGTACTTGTTATTATAATCACAGAAAACCAAAACCAAACTCACTGCCATCGAGTTGATTCTGACTCAAAGCAACCCCCACTGGGTTTCCAGGCTAAAATCTTTACAGAAGCAGACTGCCTCATCTTTCTTCCACTGAGTGGCCCGTAGGTTCAAATCACTGATCTTTAGGTTAGCAGCTAAATGCCTTAATCACTACACTACTAAGAGCTCCTTTTATAACCACATAGCACATGTAAATATTATATTCATCAATAAAATATGACTGCCATTAAGAGTGGTCTTGTTCTTACAAAATTTAAGATGGCTGTGTTGGAGAGACAAGATAAAAGCAAATTAGTGAAAATAAATTTTCTATTGATTGTTATGTGGTGTGCCATTCAGTCAGTTCTGGCTCACAGCAAGCCTGTAAGACAGAGTAGAACTGTCCCATAGGGTTTCTCAGGTTGTAATCTTTACAGAAAAGAGCTCTGGTGGCACAGTGGTTAAAGCATTCGGCTAGTAACCAAAAGATTGATGGTTCAAACCCACCAGTTGTTTCGAGAGAAAAAGATGAGACAGTTTCTTCTGTAAAGATTTACAGCCTCGGAAACCCTCTGGGGAAGTTCTGCCCTGTCCTCATAGGGTCACAATGAGTCAGAATCAACTTGATGGCAGTGGGTTTTGGAATCTTTACAGGAGCAGAACATCAGGCCTTTCTCCATTGAAGTAGTTGGTGGGCTGGAACCACCAATGTTTTAGGTAGCAGCTGAGCATTTAACCATGTGTCACCAGGGCTTCTCTGTTCAGGTGTTGTCAAAGCTTGAATGACTCTACACTAAGGTTGTTTTGCAAATGTTTCAAAAGTTTTCTCACTATTAAAAAAATAATAATAATACAGCTTGTGAAAAAAAAAAAAAAGAGAAGTAAACAAAAACCACTTTGGTATTCCAATCAGTGCTCTATGCTGTAAGCAAAGACCTTGACTCCACATAAAAGGAAAAAAAAAAAAAAAACCTGAAAAAAAAAAAAAACCCTGACAAATGTATTCTTACATGTCTACATTGAAATAAAATGTTTAAGGTAGGTATCTATTTTTTTATGATCCCTGATTTTAACTAAAGGAGCTCTGGTGGCATAGTGCCTAAGGTATTTGACTGTTTACCCAAAGGCTGGTGGTTCAAACCCATGAGCCGTTCCACAAAAGGAAGGATGTGGCAATCTACTTCAGTAAAGATTCATCACCTCAGAAACCCAGTGGGGTCACTATGAGTCAGAATCAACTCGATGGCAGTGAGTTAGTTTGTTGGTTGGTTTTAACTGACCTTTTAAATTACTGATTTTCTATTTCATCACTAGACCCAATCATATCAGAGAGGACTTCTACTACGTTAGAGTTTATGTCTCAATTTATACCCAAATTTCCTTTACTGGATTCAAACTATAAATTAAACACGATTGTTTTCATATTAAAGTTGTGCACAATAATTTTTATTATAATTTTTAAAAGGTAGAATGTTTAAACAGATGACACAGAAAATAAAGATACTGAGCATTATTAAGGAGCAGGTTTTGGAGGCTTCAACCATAAACACTCATTTAGATTCCTCTAAGTCAAAAGCAGTTTTGCACTTACCTGTGAAGTTTTGGCAAATTATATTAATTTTAGAAATTCTATGAAAATACGACTTAAGAATATAAAGCTCAAAAATTGAGGCAACTAAAAACATAAAACAAAAAAATGGAAAAACATAACAGAAGATAAACTGTGGTGTATTTAGCACATTTATCATCCACATACCTGTTTTTGATGTGATAATATATTGCGAGAGCTACACTGTAAAATAAAATATAGACGTCAATGTTTCATAAGGATATTCAAGATCTTATACAATATCGGGCATTGGTCTGATCACAAATATTTAAATGTAAGTAAAAGGCATGCAATCTATCTGAATGATCCCATTTCATTTACAATACTGTTCAAGAAAATGCACTCTTCAAAGCAACTCAATCTGGTACTCATTCCCCAAAATTATTAAATCTTTTCCAGTAACACCAGATTTAAAAACAAATTGCTCTTTCCATCAGAAATTGTAAGGTTTCCTCACTTGTAAAACACAAGTACTATATAAAAAACAGATGGTGCAAATTAAATACCTTCAAAAATCTTCAACTTATTACCTACTATTCCAGAAAATTAGTGGTTTCTTTATAAGTGGTCTCTTTATAAGAGAAATGTGAGTATCACCCATAGTGGTTTAATAATTTTGCTCTTAAATCAATAACCTTTCGGCAATCTGCCCAACTCGCTCCTTCACTTGCTGAAATGGTACTGTAATTTTTATTTGCAGCACTATGTTAAAATTTATATTTTACATTTTAAAGATCTGAATTTAATTAAGACATTCCCTTCCTCTGATTTTTTTTTTTAAATACTGATTACAAAATATATTATATTAATTGTAGAAACACTGGAAACTATAGAAAATGTAAAGAAAAATAATCCCTCTACCCAAAGATAACTACAATTAGTTCAGGATGTATAGATATCTGTAATTATCAATAAATTATACTGTGCAAACAGATTTGCATCCTATTTTCAATCTTATTATGTTAACATTTTTCTTACCATTATGATATTCTTCAAACACATGACTTCAAATGGTTGATGATAGTCTATCATATGATCATTTACTAATTTTTTAACCAATCCCCACTACTGAACATTTGTTTCTGATATTTTGCAATTATAATTAACACCATAATGAGTATTCTCACAAATAAACATTACTTTCTCACCAGCGTCTGTTGTACCTCACATTCACTGACAAAAAATCAAACCCACTGCCATCAACTTGATTCCAACTCATAGAGACCCTGTAACACAGGTCAGAACTGCCCCCATAGGGTTTCCAAGGCTGCAAATCTTTACAGAAGCAGAGGGCCTCATCTTTCTCCCACATAGAGGCTGGTGGATTTGATCTTTTGGTTAGCAGCTGAATGCCTTAACCACTGCACCACCAGAGATCCTACATTTGCTGACAGTCACCTTTAATGTTAAAAAAAAAAATACGTTCCCCAACTGAACAGGTAGAAAAAAAGCACCATTTTTTCAATATGAGTTTCTTTGAATGTCTATTCAGTTGGCAGAGTTACTCAGGTTGACTGGCCAATTTTTCTTCTCTCCTTTGGTAAACTATCTCAGTCCTTCCACTACTTTTGTTTTACTATATAATGAAGAAGCTAAAACAGTACTTTTACTGAGTCAGAATCGACTTGACAGCAAAGAGTTTTTGGCTTTTTTAAAAAGAACAGAGCTAAGTGGTTGTATCAGACTGTGTTCTGCTTCTCAGAGGCACCAACAGACCTTTAGTGAGTGAGCAGAGAACATAACAATAGCTAATCTCACTCCATCACAAGAAAAATTCTAGTTTTCCAAATCAATCTCTTTCCAGATCTAATCATTCAAAAATTTCAGCTTAAGTCTTAAGAGTCTAAGAAGATGGTAATATTTCCTTTGATTCTGACATCTTGAAATGTATCTAATCTGATGAAGGAACTAAGTGGGGTGAAAGGGCTTCCGAATTAAAAATAATAATAGTATGGTTTTCTAAGTGCTTTCATGTACATTAACAGCCCTGTAACAGAAAACAGTAGACTTTATTGATTCTACTTTATAAATGAGAACACTAAGGATCCGACTCCAGATGCCAGGATTTCCAACTTGTGTAATGGTTCTGTGACCTTTTTGTTCTACTATGTTGCCTCTGGAAAGCAGGGAGAAATTGATTGTTTTATTCACTGAAGAGCCATGCTGTGATGACTGCTTTTCTAATCTAATGTCAAGTTTAAATTGAATGTTTCATATGATCGGGTTTAAGTGCAGTGATTAGTTTAATCTCTTTGACTAACTGAGAGAAAAAATGGTTCTTGCTTTCCCTGTGAGGCAGTGTTGACGAAGGAAGGCTGGAAGGCACACAAAGCTGGGTTCAAAATCTAGCTCCTTCATTTATTAGAATTCATTCACCTCTCAGAGCCTTAATTTTCTCATTTATAAAATTAGCATGACAGAAACTACACACTGAAGAGTTGTTGTTATGACCAAATGAGAGAAAATGTATAACAAGTGTTATCTCAAAGATAAAGCACTAAAATTAAAAGTTATTATTGTTGTTGTTATTCCCTTATCAATAATTTAATCTCAAGAGGTCTGGGAATGAAAACCTCCAGGGTCCCAAGATCACTGTTTTTCTCAGCTAAGAGCAAGATGGAACTTTCATGGATGTAACCTTACATGAAAGATGAAGCCACTCTCAAGGCCAATTTTCACTCAAGGTTTCTGGGAGAAAGTAAAAAGGCTGAGCTAAAGATTCATGTGGGAGCTCTGGTAGCATAGTGGCTAAAGCACTTGACTGCTAACCAGAAGGCTGGCGGTTCAAATCCACCAGCCACTCCTTGGAAGGAAGGTTGGGCAATCCTACCTCCGTAGTGATACTGCCTCGGAAACCCAAGGAGGGGTCGCTATGAGTCGTGGCTGAGTCGACGGCACATAACAACAACAACAAAGATTCATGTACAGCACAGTTCTACAGGCCGGTTTACTAGTCTTCTTGAAAGAACTGCAGACAGTTGAAAACTAAATCAGTCTTGGCCTTCAGGCTTCATGGCAAATAGTCAGCTCTCAAAGTCTGGTGGGTTCTGGCCAGCCTTTGAGGCCTGGTTGGTTTTGCCAGGAAGTCTCACCAAGGATGTGCTAGACCAAACCGCAGAACAGAATACATTTTGGCCAAAGGGTTTGCTTTTGCCACATACCTGGGAAGGATGAACATGCTATTTTCTTTCCCAATAAAACAAAACAGCTTGTGATTGTTGGCACTGCCCTTGTTTTACTTTTTAGCTAAAGCTAAATTAGCAAGGCACATGATAATCCCAATGTTGATGGAGATCAAGCAGTGGAGGGACTGGCAGTGCAGAGAAGCTGAACCCCAGAACTGGAGGAGGGCACGGAGCTCCTCTCTGATCATTGGAGGCCAAGAACCATGGATGATCTGACCAGCTGACCTCCCCCCCTTGGATCATCAGCCACATGCTTGTTACAGGATTTCATAGAGGGTCTCGGAGAGGCATGGAGGGTGGCTGGAAAATGCTAACTCAATACCACAGCTGTTAGCATTTAAAGATTTAAAACCAACCAACCAGTTGCTGTCAAGCTGATGTGACTCATGGGGTCCCACAGGAAAACAACATTCTCAAAATTAGAAATAATGCTATGAAAAGAATGAGCATGGTACTGAATGGTCAAACTTTTTATACTCCAACTTTTCCTTCACTGTTACAATAGCACTCAACCCCCACTCCATCCGCAACCAAACCTGTTGTAATCTGTTTCCATGGAGTCATTTCTGACTCACAGTGACCCTATAGGACAGAGTAGAAATGTCTTGGAGGATTTCCAAGGCTGTCATCTTCATGGGAGCAACTGCTTCATCTTTCTCCCACTGAGCAGTTGGTGCGTTCAAACTGCCAACTTTGCAGTTATCAGACGAGTGCTTAATAACTGCATCACCAGAACTCATATGAGTCAGAATCGACTCAACAGCAATGGTTTTGTTTTGGTTTGGTTTTGGTTTAGGGTTAAGCAAAATTTTAAAATAGGATAGCATTAGGGTTTAGCATTTTCCTAACCACTTTTTGACACCCTCTTCTCTTCTGCTTATTCCCTTCCTCTTACACTGTTCAAAGCACCTAGCAGAAGAATTCACACAGGCCTGCTAACACTTCGAAATGCTGTCTACTCTCCAGCTCCTTGATTCACAACCAAGCCAGGAGTGCAATCCAGGTGTTTACACAGCAGGATTCAGATGGTACCACTTTCATGAGGGCTTACCCCCACTGCTGCGAGCTCCCAAATGTATTTTCAAAAAGGGGGATGCTTTTTTAAAGCAAGTGGACATTTACTGAAGGAATTTCAAATCTTGGCAGTGTGGAGAAAACATCTTTTGGATCAGGGGAGCTGCCGTATCAGAATGTTTTATCTCGAAGCTCAGCTGTCCTAATGGTCCCTGCTCTTCAGCTGTGTTTTTTTTAACCTAGCAGAGTTCATTTAAAAGTTTCATAGGGACACTGGAGGAGAAGGGCAGAGCGGCTCTCCATTTGTATCAGTAGTTCTCAACCTTGGCCACCCATTAGAATCTAAAAATCCCAATGTCCAGGCTGTATCAAACCAATTTAATCAGGAGCTCTAGCAAGAGCCAGACATCAGAATTTTTTTAAAAGCTCCCTGGGGTGCTTCCAACATGCAGACAACATTCCAACATGCAGATTCATACAGATGTGCCTCTGTGAGTCAGCTGTGCCTGCAGCCTCCCAAGACTTCATCACTGAAATATCAAATCGTCACCCTTATTTTCCTTCCCTTGCTCTTAAGTACTTATGTCACAAACAGGGGCAATTTTAAGCCAGTCAAGGGACTAAGCATTAAGCAATTATGTTGGATCCAATTGTGAATCCCAAAGAGCTCCCAGTTGCCATTTAGAGTGAAGCTGCCATCCGGTTATACTTTGTTTCCCTTACTGTGAGTGAGGCAGGATTCCAGGATGAAAGGAAAGTTAACAGCTTTCATTCTGTGCTTTTTAAAGCCTGAGCAGATGCCAGTGACGGCATGGTGCACAATTCTTCAGGGCTTTCCATTTCCTTCCACAACTGCTAACTACTTCGTCTAAAAAAAAAAAATACTTCCCAGAGTTTCTGTGCCTCCCATTTCCCAGCAGTAAATTGGGGCCCAAAGGTATTCAACTGGCTCCAGCAAGATCACACAGGTAAATGCCTTGTGGAGCTATTATGCAAACCTCTTATCAGCTGCCATCTTAGATCATGTGGGTTTATGTGCACTAGTCATTTATGATGCCCTTAAACACTAGGTAATGCAAGGAGAGATGCACTTCCATTCAGATCTAAGAAACATGCTGCCTCCGGGATAGAAGGAAACTGCACAGACATGGGCAGCCCTATCCTAGTGGTTACATCTTCTACCAGCCACCTGGCATTGCCCACTGGGCACAGACGCCACTTGCAGAGCCCTTCCTGCTCTGACTGAGGTAGAGATCAATCACCTGGAATCATATTTAGAATAGGGCTTCAAAGCTAAATCCCTAGCCCACTGAACTAACAGAATACTTCTTAGGGAATTTAACACTTATTTCATATGCTAGCATGTATAGTCACTACATGCATACTTTCTTGAACAAGTATAGAGATAAAATATCCCAGATTTTTCAAAATCGAGCTGCTGACCACAGACCCCTATGTCAAGTTCTCTGTGACTGCTGCTATCAAGGGTTATTATCACCGTGTTAGGGGTAATGTTACAGGAGAAACCATTCTGCTACCTTTCATTTCCCATTTTAAAATAAGGAATCTGAGGCCCTAAAAGGGAAAGGATTTTATTCAAAGACTCCCCCTTCCTCCCTCTCACCCCTCCTTTAAAATAAGGAACTAAAAGCCCCCAAAGAAAAGGGTCTTACCCAAACCATCATCTTCCCACCCCAGTCAGTGATTAGAACTCAGCTCTCTCAACTATCAGCCAAGTATATTCTATTCCATGCCATGCTAGCTTTCTTCTCTAGCCCAGAGTCTGAAACTGTGACCACAGTAGCCTCATTTAAAAGGTAAAATACTAGCAGAGTTATGCTAGAATAGTCTCAATAAAAAGTGAAAAAACAGAAAGTCTGCATAAAAATAAAAAATGGCATTTTAAATATCACTTAATTATACATTTTAGCCTTTTTATGTAAATAATAATATGCACAAGTATTTTGATACTCTACATTTTAACCACCAAAATAATTTTTTTAAAAATATTTCCTAAATAGTCCAGTCCATGGCCTCCCCTTGCCCAATCTTACCTCTCCCAAACCCCCAAACCAACCAGCTTAGCCATCAGGTTAAAGAATAGAAAAAAACATTCAGTTAAGCAAAAGTCTGTATACCCACCATTTAATTGTATACTTGAGGTTTGGTTGACTGACTGTGCTATCATCTAGGAAAATAGTAGAGCAGGAGCTGTATTTCCTTGCTATTTGTCCTGGAGGATGCTAGAAAATAATGGGCAACAAGACAAGGACAATTACACAGGGCTCAAAATTCTTCCAACTACATCATCCCCTTGAGATCAGAACACAGAGAGAAAAAATGTCTTAGAAAGAACAGTTAACATCAACACCAAAAAACAGTACAAAAACACTTCATTCATGAAAGGAAATTCCCTGTTCTTCCATATGTAAAAGTCACCAACCACCAGTCCTGGTCCCAAGCCTCTTTCATCAGGAGAACAGTAAAATGTTGCAATCAAGCATCAAAGAGTCTGTTGCAGACCCATAAAAACTATCTACCCCAGGGACTGTGTGAACATGGAATACACCTCTCACCAAAGAAAGCCCAGAATTGAGGTAGCATCTTGATTTTACACACCAAGATCAATACAGGAGTCTATTGTATCCATTGTCTCTACTCTTGGGTTGCAGTTGATTTGGGGACCTTGGAAGATGTAGCCAACATTACTTCAGAATCTCCTTTTCAGGAAATGAAAAGATAAAGGAAAGAAAGTCTTCCTTTGTGAGAAGCAAAATACTTTACAAAGAGGATGAATACCTGATATCTGGAAATACAAAAAAATGAGTGATGTTTAGGTAGATTGCCCATTCAGCCTTATGACTGGCTCTTTCACAGCTATATTCAGTTTTGAGGTCTTTGGAAAACTTTAGACCAGAGCACTTCTGAAATGTATTGGTGAAGAAACAAATATAATTATAAACTGATCACATTGAACTGAATGCTATAAATAGATTTTTGGAGACTATTTGGGCAATATGACTGCTGTTGTTTGTTGTTAGGTACCATTAAGTCAGGTCCGACTCATAGCAACCCCATGTACAACAGAATGAAACACTGCCTGGTCCTGAGCCAGCCTCACAGTCTTTGTTATACCTGAGCCCATCATTGCAACCACTGTGTCAATCCATCTCATTGAGGGCCTTCCCCTTTTTCACTGACCCTCCACTTCACCAAGCATGATATCTTTCTCCAGGGAATGGTCCCTTCTGACAACGTGACCAAAGTACGTCAGACAAAGTCTGGCCGTTCTTGCTTCTAAGGAGCATTCCAGCTGTACTTCTTCCAGGACAGATTTGTTAGTTCTTTTGGCAGACCATGGTACTTTCAGTATTCTTCACCAACACTACAACTCAAAAGCATCAACTCTTCTTCAGCATTCCTTATTCACTGTCCAGCTCTCACATGCATATGAGGTGATTGAAAATACCACAGCTTATGCCAGGTGTACCTTAGTCTTCAAAAAGACATCTTTGCTCTTCAGCACTTTAAAGAAGTCTTTTGCAGCAGATCCGCCTAGTGCAATACATTGTGTGATGCTTGGCTGCTGCTTCCATTGGTGTTGATTGCAGAACAAAGGAATATGCAATCTTTGACAACTTCAATCTTTTCTCCACTTATCATGATGCTGCTTATTGGTCCAGTTGTGAGGACTTTTGTTTACTTTATGTTGAGATGTAATCCATACTGCAGACTGTAGTTTTTCATCTTCATCAGTGTTTCAAGTCAGCCTCACTTTCAACAAGGAGCCATCAATCTGGGTAATTCTTGCACAAAAGCAAGTTAGAAAAAGGACTTGAATCATCTGAAAAAAGCCCAATCACCACTTTCCGGAAGCTATGTTTAAAGTCTAAGTGTCTTCTCAGCAACCAAAAACACCAGTCTCTTGGGGTTCTTAGAATAGCCAGCCTGATGTGTCCATATCCTACCAGATCCTCAGTTACCCATGTATCATCATATAAAAGGAAGCCCTAAGACTAATTAGAGTTCAAATGTCCTGCTCAATACGTCAGCCTGAGAAATATAAAAAATAGATGTTATCAAAAACCTCCTCTTTAAATCATAAAAGAAAAGCATTTGGGGTGTCCAGTTCCTTAAATTGCAGCTAGGGGGCACTGCACAACTGCAGCATAAGGACCCGCCTGAGCACTGATTTTGAAAGGTTTGTGGATCCAAAGGAATGAAACTAAATGTACATGTAACGTTGAATGTAAAACAAGCTCTTAAAATATAAATAAATAAATAGGAAATAACTAAACTCAGGAAATTTAAAAGGTAAAGCCTGCCCTGGGCCTTTACTTCTTAAAACTTACACTGTTATGTGTCTTATGGAAGGAAAGGGCAAGGGGGAAGCACAGTAAAGTTCCAGTTACAGCAAGGCATTTTTACGTTTATTAATCACAGCATTCTCATTAAGATGGTCTAGAGGCATTAAAAACAATTCTCTTTCTCCTCTTAAGGTCAAGTAGCAAGCATAGTCAAGCCACATAAGAAACACTGAAAATTCATAACCTATTAGTTGTTCTTAATAGGAGTAGCAAGCTTTTTAAAATTCATATGACATTTTCCCCACAGGTGCAAAATCTGCTACAAACAATAAAAACCTCAAGAGACGCTTGTTGTACACAAAATTCAGTAATTAACAGATGCATTAATGAATTCTGAGAGATACGGGATAATGTTAGGAACAATATCAACAATGAAGCAAAAGGACACTAATTCACATCTACCTCTTGTGGGGTTTCAACTATTTCCTGTGACGCAAATTCCTTCAAGATTAAAGTGTGATGACGGGAACTGTCAGGAATAAGTCATTTCCCTTAGAAAATAAAAGCCATAGGTCCTCTGTTAAGGAGTGAACAGTTGACTCATTGCCTTGGATGAGTATCTTTACATCCCTCTCCATCTAAGATCTTAAGTTCATTAGTTCACTCACAGGCGCATCCCTCAGGACAGGCAACCCCTAAGGGTTAGAGTTTTACCTCAAAACCAGCCCCACTGAGGGACCCAGTCATGCTTTGGGACCTCCTGACCCCCACAGCCCTTGATTCACCAGGGGACGGTAGCCCAACTTCCAAATTACTGAACATTTCCTAGTGTCACTTTTTAAAAATTTAATTAATTCCAACTATTTAACAATGTCTAAATTAAATAAAAGTTCTAAGTATTAAATTATGAAGACTTTTCAGGGCAGCTCATCACTCTAAATATCACATGGGCATTAAGTCACCTATTGGATGTCAGGACTATAAGATTTATAGAATGGAAACTTCTCTTGGTCTGAAATTCATATTGCTAAAAAGCTGAATTCCCACTACTAGAAAAGCTGAACTCTCTGTACAAGAAAACCTCTTGATCCCTTAGCTTGTTTTGAACTGTCCCTGTTAGGGTGTGGCAAAGGAAGGATACAGTAGATTTGACCTTCTTGTACTGCAGCATGTCCAATAATCAGTATGTCTTGTGATATGGAGAGCTTTAAACTTCAGCACTGCCTTCTGAATGATCAAATTAATGTTATATATCTTTATAAATATTTTTTACTAAACACTCAATGTGCTGGTAGTTCTTAGTTTGAATCAAAATTCTGTATTAATCTGACATTTTAATTATCCCATTCTCTTAGTTATCTAGGGCTGCTATAACAGAAATATCATAGACGGATACCTTTAACAAACGAAAATTTATTCTCTTACAACGTCCCATGGAACCATGAGTCTGGAGGCTAGAAGTCTGAGTTCAGAGTGCCACCTCTAGGGGAAGACTTTTTCTCTCTCTGTCTCTTGTTCCTAGGAGGATCCCAGCCCAGGGACCAAAGGACGTGCTCCATTCCTGGTCCCCCTTTCTCACTGAGGCTGACAAATTCAAGGTTAATAGGCAAAATGGAAGATTGTTGACTCACAGGCTGTGAAGGAAACAATCCCATGACTGGCAGGCAACATGGCAGGCCACTGGTTCAAGTCCTGGAACTGGAGATGGTGATGGGTCGAATATAGGATCCCAAATGAGCAAAAAGCTAGAGATCTTTCCCAAAGCTTTTCCAAATATACTGGAGGCAGGACACACCCCTAACGAAATGCCTCTTAAACTGATTAACTGCTCATAGTAGATTCTGCTATGGAGATGATTATACCACATCCAATCTCATTATGGGGAATAACTTCATCACAACTGCCAAGCCACTCAGATATGGCCCAGCCAAGTTGACACACACCTTAATTACCACACCCATGATTCCGGAAAATCAGTATGCATATACATATGTGTTAAAGACATACAGAGACTATTCTAGGTGGCTATGAATCTTACCCATACTATAACACAACAATGTAAGGCCCTAGAGAAACAGCAGTGCATAGTGGTAAAGAAGACAGACACAGGGGCCAGAACTCTTACATGTGAATCTTGAATTGGCCCCTAACTAGTTATACAACTCAGGCAGATTGCTCAGCCTCCCTCCCGACACCTGAGTTTCCTTATAAGTAAAAATGAAGATGAAAAAAATAGACCTCATTGGGTCCTTATGAGAAGAAAGTAAGTTGTTCTTTCTAAAGTGTCAAGAGCAGTGCCAGGGACACAGGAAGTGCTACGTAAGTACTTGCTAGATAAAATACATGAAACATGGTAGGCAGAAAGTGATGTCATTACTAGGTGCAAACAAGATGGCTCCAACTCATAGCAACTCTATTCATGTACAACAGAACTAAACACTTCCTAGTCATGCACCATCCTCACAACTGTTGGGATGTTTAAGCTCAATGCTGCAAGCAATGTGTCAATCCATCTGTTGAGTGTCTTCTCTTTTTCACTAACCCTCTATTTTTAACAAATTATGATGTCTTTCTCCAAGGACTGGCCCCTCCTGGTAACATTCAAAGCATGTGTGATGAAGTCTCACCATCCTCCCTTCTAAGGAGCATTCTGGCTGTACTTCTTCCAAGACAGATTTGTTTGTTCTTCTGGCAGTCCATAGGTATGTTCAATATTCTTTGCCAATTATTCAAAGGCATCAATTCTTCTTCAGTCTTCCTTATTTATTGTCCAGCTTTCACATGCATATGAGGATACTGAAGATATCCTAGCCTGGGGTTAAGTACACCTTAGTCCTGAAAATGCCATCTATGCTTTTCAACACTTTAAAGAGGTCTTTTGCAGCAGATTCACCCAATGTAATGTGTTGTTTGATTTTTTTGTCTGCTGCTTGCAT